CATCTACAACAACCCAATTGACCCTGCGTTTTGAGAGTGATAGAGAAGGAAGAAAAATAATAGAAAACAGGGATTGATGCAATAGTAAGGCACATGTGAAAAAAAAAAGTTTGGAAATGTGTGGTGTTGATTGCACCCTAAGAAAAATAATAATAATAAAATATAAAGGGATTTGAATGGTCCACAGCACCATTTGATCAAAATAATAAATAAATAAAAACAAATATAAAGGTTTTTGTTGGTGCATGGCACCATGCTGCAAAAATAAGAAAAGTAATGATAACAATGTTTGAATAAGTGCTGACAAAAGAAAGAAAAATAATAAATAAAAGGAGGTCTGATACTTCTTGTTATTTATGTGAATTGGTGTTGGTTTAAAACTCATTAATAAGTTCTATTTACTTTAAAACAATTTATTTATCATGAACAGTATTACCGCCTACTGCTTTAAGTTTTGATTTATGTGAATGGTGCTAAATTAAAGCCCTTATCACAAGCTTTATTTACTTAAATGCAATTTATTCATTATGGCTAGAATTATCGCCTATTACTTTAATTTATTTATTTTACTTATCTTTTGTTACGATGTGTATAACAAGGACCCGAATTTCCTTGATCAGATCAGAACCTGTAGTTTCTTGATTCTCATCATATAAAAATGATTGGACCCGAAGTTCCATCATACAAAAAGATTAGGCATGAAGTCCTTTGATCCTCAGATCAAGACATGAAGTTCCTTAATGAGTACAGTAAGTTTGAAGTGCCGTAGTGCCTCAACTTCACTATAATAAAGGCCAGAAGAATCTCAATCCACACCAGAAGTTCCTTATATCCATACTCAAAATGGTTTAGCAGAAGTATTTATTAAGATGATGAAATTGATTACCCGTACTCTGCTCATGAAAACAAAATTGCCAGTTTTTACATGAGTACATGCTATTTTGCATGATGCAGTATTAGTTTAGTTGAGACTTGTTGCCAACCATCAATACTTCTCAGTATAATACGTGTTTGGGCACCAGCCAAACATTATACATTTACGAGTTTTTGGTTGTGTTATCTATGTGCATACTGCACTGCCACAACGTACTGAAATAAGGCATCATCGCGGATTGGGTATTGATGTTGAACATCATTTATCATTCAATATTTAGAACCCTTGACTAGGGATATGTTTAACGCGTGGTTTGCAAACTATCATTTTGATAAGACAATTTTCTCACCGTTAGGGGGAGAAAATAATATCGTTCCAGAAGAACGATGAGAAAATATCATTCAAGAAGAATGATGAAAAAAGACCGTTCCCGAAGAACAAAGAGAATTTGTTTTACTTTGATTCACGAAACAATCAATGAGGAAAATGAAGTGAGAATGATTAATGATGCAACAAAAGTGATGAAATTACATATACTTACTGCAAATGTGCCTCCAAGAATTGATGTCCCTGTTGAAAATAAATAAAATAATGATGCAGTAAATGATTTATTTATTGCATGCCTGAAGCGTGACAAACCCTTAGACTCAAAAGGTTTAGTCATTCAAAATAAGAAGAATATGACACTACTGAACTATTGCATTCCCGTAGCATAACTGTTACATGCCGGAAGCTTGTCTCATACGACACCTATTTTCTATAAAATACAAACTCCACACAATATCAAAGCAATAAGTTCACGAAGAGGAAGAGAGAAAAGAGAGGAAGAGGATAGGAGATAACAGAGAGAGTTATTTTGTACTCCTATTATTCTAAATTATAATGAAAGCACCACTGCTGCTCCGATGATGTATTCCAGTCATATTGACTGTAGAAGAACCTCTTAAATTTTGTATCTTGTTTTATTTATTTCACTGTACACACCGTTAATTTTACAAGAGTTGGGGCAATGATATTAAAATCATGCACGGATCACACAGAAGACAATCCTATCTTTACTTGCAAGTTGCATCGAACAGATAAGTAAAAGGTCCAAACTAACCATGTCATAAATAATCAAGTTCTTCAGAATAATCAAAAGTCGTCGAAAAAAATGTGGGACTGCGCGATTTACATATTTGGTCGTTCTTTTTATTTTTATTTTTTTATTTTTTTGTGATACAATATTCTGCAGAAAGTCGTCGAAGAAATATCACACTTTTCGCGAATCAGCTTGATGCTCCATAATTCAACATTTGACTAATGAGTTTATAATATTAAAAATAGCAAATTATAATATCAGACAACGTAGCATATGCGGGTTCATATGTTAATTATTTGGAGTACAGATTCTTTTTGAATCTAAAAAAATTGAATCTAAGGATCAAATGATCTGGATTGTTAAAATTTGATTCAACGGCTATAATTATTATAACTTTTAAAAAAATCTTTTGTTTGTAACCGTTGAATCAAATTTCAACGGCCTGAATCATTTAAACCCCTTCAACACCACCATGAGACATAAAAGAAAGACACAAGCTCAAAAAGGCAAATTTAACATGGACGAAAGCCGGACTATACCTAGACAACCCACACCATAAAAATTCATCTCCATCTCTTGCCACACACCACACTATCCGAACAACCATAGACGGAAGATTTTGGGAGAAAAAATGGATTGAAAAAGGACAAAAAAATAAGTGACAGAGAACTCAAATCTAAGCAAGTTTAGACACAAACTTAATCACCACAAAAGGGACTAAAATGATTAGTATGTCATTAATGCGTGATAAAAAATTATTTGGTAACTTCACCGCAACAGTCTACTTTTAGGGATCGAAAAGACTTACAAAGGCATTTCAACCTCTCATTGATCATTATCGTGTGATACACACGCATTAAGAATCTAACCCAAAACATATTGTGTATGATATAAGAGTATGAAATTCATTTTCAATCAGTAGGTCATCCCTTACTGGAATTGACCCTGATGTATAAGAATCACGAGTGGTAGACCAATTCCAGCGTAGAGATTTTTTTCGTAAGGTTATTTTCGTGGGGCCGATGACCTTAAAATTATGCACACATCACACAGAAGACAATCCCATCTTACTTGCATGTTGCAACGAACAGATAAGTACAGGGTCCAAACCAACCATGTCACAAAATAATAAATCTTCAAAATATTCAAAATTCGATAAACGTCTAGAAAAACGGGGGATTCAGCAGTTTTACTATTTTGTCATCCTCAATTAAATTGTCTTTTTAAAGAGTTATGAAAAGGAAAGGGTATTTTTAAGCGAAGAAGTTACTTTTCTGAGTTCAGGATGAGGATCATCCTGATCAGGTTATCCTAACCGTTTAAATTTAATCCAATGATTTTAAATATGAAAATCCTCTAAAAGTTATAATAATTACAACCATTGGATTAAATTTGAACGATCTAAATAACCTGATGAGGGGGATTCCCAACCTGAATTTAGGAGAGGATTCTCTTCCATTTTTAAGTACTTTGAAGGTCTCATTTTTCTATCTTCTGAAAAGTACTTTTAGAAAGGTAAGCAATCACGTCATTCTTAATTAAATTGTCATTTTAAAGAGTTTTAGGAAGGAAAACATAATTTCAAGGGAATTAACTTGGTTGCTGAAAATTTCAGCAGCCACTCCTACTTACAACTAATTTCGTGTGGACACATGTCCAAGTTTGAATTAAAAGAATCAAAATTTAAATACGTGTCCACACGAAATTGGGTGTAAGTAGAAGTGGCTGCTGAAATTTCAGCAGCCAAGTCTTGTTCAATTTCAAGTATTTTGAATGTGTTACTATTTTTATATTTTGACTTTGTAAAGATAAAAAGATAGAATATAGACAACAGTATTTTTGAACCACATTATTACTAATTTATTGTGAGGCTAAACTCATTCCTCTTCCTTTAGTGTCGAAAATAGGGAGTTATAACGAAAAGCTCACGGTACTGTTCACTTTAACGAAAAACCACATTTTTACACTAAAAAGTCAATCCTGATACTATTCACTTTACCCTTTATTTTATCTTTATCGTTAAAACTCAAAATTTTCAAACCCTTTTCATTAGTTTTCGTTAGAAAATATTATTTTGTTTGGACCGTTAGAAAATATTATTTTTTTTCCAAACAAAAGAAGGTATTTTTGAAAAGTAATCAATCACATCATTAACAAGCGAGAAAAGTCTTCCAAAAGCTACATAACGTAGCACCAATATAAGTAATTGCTTTAAAGAATGCACAAATGAAGCAGCCTAAGGAAAGCACCAAAGCAGCAGTTGCTGCCTTCTCTAAATGGTCCCTTTGTTCTTCTCCAAAGATACTCTTAAACTAACCAGGTTTTGTTTTCATGTAGTGGAAACATGGTAACTTGTAAATAACTAACCATTTATATTATTGCACGTATTAATTATGATTCAAAAGTAAAATTAAATATATGCGGGTCGGTTTGATTAACCGCACCCTAAAAATTTTGGGAGCTGATTGTCAAACCGATTAAGGTCGGTGCGGTTTGGTTTAGCCATTGAAAATTTTAAAAAAAAAAAAAAAAAAAACCAAACCAAGCTGCGGGTGGGATTCGATCGGTTTACTCGGTTTTTTTTTTAAATGTCCAGCCCTATGTTCTACGTAGAACCCAAAATAATTTTTTCTCTTAATAATTAAGATCCATATAAGCAAAATCATCAATTATATTTTACTTTACAGATTTTACATTTTTTCGAATTCTTAAAATATTCATATTGCATGTTTGATGTACACAATTAATTCTATGTGGGTTCTTAGGTTCGATTCTCGCTAAAAGTAAATTTGAACCCCATTATTACTAACCAATTGTGAGACTTAGCCCACTTCCCACCCCTTTAATGTAGATAATATCATTTTTTAAAATTTAAAATAAATAAATAAATAAATAAAACAACAACAACAACAACAACAATCTATCTTTTACCTTTTGGTTAGTCATAATTTTTTCATTTCTCCCCTCAACTGGAAGATAAAGAGTTATCTATTTCAATACAACCATACGTAATAATCGAGCCCTTACTCCTATATATACGTGTGTGTATGACAAGGCGATAAATCAACTCAAGCCTTACTCAGTTCAGTAAAAATCATTTTGCCTCTAGCTTTCTAATGATAGTTGCAAAAATGGATTCTCGCCCATATGCAAACTCTATCACTGCTGGCTTGTTCACGGTAATCATCGTGTTCTATTACTTATCACGAAGATGGAGAGCTGCAAATCACAAGGGCAAATTATCACCACCTGAAGCCAAGGGTGGTTGGCCTATAATTGGTCACCTTCCTTTGTTTGGAGGCTCCACACCTCCTCACATAACTTTGGGAGCCATGGCGGACAAGTACGGACCCATTTTCACTATCCGCCTTGGCGTCCATCCATCGTTGGTGATAAGCAGCAGTGAGATCGCAAAAGAATGCTACACAACCCAAGACTTGAGCATACTCTCACGCCCAAAGATGGTGGTTCTAGACCACGTTAGCTACGACTACGCCATGTTTGGGTTCGGACCAGGTGGACCCTTTTGGCGAGAAATTCGCAAGCTAGTCACCTTGGAGTTGCTCTCAGTCCGGAAGGTTGAGCTGCTCAAGCACATTCGAGTGTCGGAAGTGGCTACTTTCTTAAAAGAATTGCACGAACTTTGGAGTGCAAAGAAGAGGGAGAGCTCGAAAGATGGAGTCATTGTAGAGCTGAAGCAATGGCTTGGGGACATGACGCTGAACGTGATTCTCACAATGGTGGCCGGAAAGCGGTATTCCGTGGCTGCCGCTGGGGATGAGAAGAAAGAAGCGCGTAAGGTTCAGACTGCATTGAGGGAGTTATTTGATTATCTGGGCATGTTTTTGGTGGGTGATGCGGTTCCTTATCTGCGGTGGTTGGATTGGGGTGGACATGAGAAGGCAATGAAGAAAAGTGCAACGGAAATGCACGCCATTGTTGCAGAGTGGGTTGAAGAGCATAAGCAGAGGAGAGCAAAAGGTAATGCAAAAGGAGAACAGGACTTCATAGATGCGATGCTTTCTGTGCTTGATGGTGCAGACCTTGGCAGTTTTGATGCTGATACGATCGTCAAAGCCACAAGCTTGGTAAGTATATATAATTCATTAATTTGCAGGCAAATAATTAACCATAAAGGGCTGGAGTTGGACACTAAACACATCAAGAATTTTTTTGAGTTTCAATACTTAATTAAGTTAATTGCATGATCTATAAAAAGAAAATGAAAACATATGACTAAGAATTTTTTTTTTTTTTTTTTAAACATGTGATTTCCAATTTTAGGTATGACTCATGCAACATGTTTGAGTGCTCACCAATAGGTGATAGTAGAGAGATTTTTTTTTTAACTGTCTCTGCAGACCACATGATGTGACGGTTGATAATTATGTTATTTCTTTAAATCTTTAAAAATGAAATCCAACCATCAACCGTCACATTTTTTTATTTACAAGATGTGATTTAAAAAATAGTCTCTTTAGCATTTTCGCCACCTAAAGAATGTATTGATGTTAAGTACAGATATCCTCTAATCAATCAAGCAAATATTTTTTTGGCAGAATGTTATTGCAGGAGGTGGCGATACCACCATGGTGACATTGACGTGGGCAATATCGTTATTGCTGAACAACCCTCACGTTATGAAAAAAGCCCTAAACGAACTAGACACCAAAATAGGCAGACAAAGAGTTGTGAGTGAGGAAGATTTAAGCAACTTGGTCTACATTCAAGCTATTGTGAAGGAGACGTTACGTTTATACCCAGTGGGACCATTATCAGGGCCGCGTGTATTCAATGAAGATTGCATCATTGCTGGCTACCCTATTCGAAAGGGTACCCGATTCCTCCCAAACCTCTGGAAGATCCAAATTGACCCGAAATTTTGGCCAGAGCCACTCAAGTTCAAGCCAGAGAGATTTCTTACCACGCACAAGGACGTTGATCTGAAGGGTCAGCATTTTCAGTTTATTCCTTTTGGAAGTGGTAGAAGATCATGCCCTGGTTTGGCATTTGGCCTTCAAATGGTGCAATTTACATTGGCTAGTTTTCTACATGCATTTGAAATCTCAAACCCGTCAAGTGCCCCGGTTGATATGACGGAGAGTTTTGGAATGACCAACGTTAAGGCAACTCCACTTAATGTTCTCATCAAACCTCGCTTATCTTCTGAACTTTATGGATAAAATAAGGAAATATAAAATACTATGTGTGTGGTATGAATAAGAGGTTTTCATTGTTATTAATTTTATATAATTATATGTCTATCTTTATAGTCATGAGACCAATAAAAACAACTGCCAATGTAAGATACAAAACCTAGCAATAATGCGTGTTTGAAAATGGGCATTTATTCTTAATCAAAATGACATTTTGTGTATGAAAAGTTCATAATGGATCAAACTCTTTTCTTTATTTTTATTATTGCAGCGGGGTCCTATTGACATTTCTGTCTGGAAAGACATTATTTTACATGATTCTATTCAACTTATGCTAATGTGCTGCCAACTCTTCATGCTTCCATCATGTTGTCGATGTTATGCGGCTCTTCTTCTGTCAAATTGTTATAGTATTGTTCATCACCTTTTACTAGCTCTGCATCTCCTTCTCTATCTTCTTTCATCTTGTAATACATATCTTCTGTTTCTCCTTTGAAATTTTGAGGCTTCCAGTATAGCTGATGACGGGCTTTTGACTTGCTGTAAATATGCATTTCTTCTTCTTCTGCTACTAATATCATATTATACCTAAAATCTTCAAACTCATCTAAGGCAAACATTTGGATCCTTTGAAATTTTAAAATATTTTTGTAGATAGGGGATAGTCTAAAGGACTCTTCATTAATCATGGATATATGCTTAACTTTCTCCTTATGCATATGTACATATCAATTTGGAGGGCTATTAATAAAACTTGTGCAAATTTCTTTCCACTTTTCTAGATAATCTTCTGCTACTTTATAAGTTTTTCAGGAAATGATTCTAGTTGAGAAATATGGTTAATAAATATTTTATCAAGATAGTCAAACTCTAATAGTAAAGCAAGGGTAACTTCTACCACATTATGCTTTTTCTGATGCTCATAACTAAAATGTCATGGTCTAAAATCTCTCATGTTAATCCTGGCCACAGCTATACTAACCTCTGATTTACAAATACAATTCTTTGTACTATCACAAAGACATGGTGGATACATCTTTGTAATAATATACATCCCTGGTTTTGGATCAAAGATTGACTGATACAAAGCACATTGTAATTGTAATTATAACTTTTTCATGGACTATGATGTTTTTCTCAGGATTTCATTTTGCATATCTGATGGCATTAGTCTTAATTTTGCTTTTGAAATTTCTTCTAATAGTATATCATCTATTATTAAGTCTAAAAATATATTCCTAAGAAAACTTTCATATCTTTCTTGTTTTTCTTTGTCACTCAAATGTTGATGTTGCTCATTATTTTGATGCTGCTTCATTTAATGTCTTCTTCTAAGAGCTCAATCTTAATCTATTCTATGGGCTCATTAGCCTCTTGTTCTATGGTTTCAATAACCTATTTTCCTTTATTCTTATACTGATCAGTTTCCAAACCTATTTTCAATTCTTTTTTTAGGGTGTCACTTGCCTTCTGCTGTATTCTAAGATATTGAAGTTCTTGATTCATTTTAGTAAACTTACTACGTAATGACTCATGGTCTCTAGAAATGACTTGAAGGTTGTGCTCAAAAGAATGAATATAATGTTGGTTTTGAGGGATACTGAAATTAAAACTATCAAACTCTTGCTTCAAGGCTCTTATTAATTTTTCATGACTTAACCTCATACTTGGCTGTTTGATTTGGATATTTTAAAAATTATCTAGGAGAACCTGCTGCCTATCAGAAAACCTTGGTACTCTTGACCTATACCACAGAGTTGGATTTCTGATTCCTTCTACAACATTGCCATTAAAATTGAAAGTTGGTACTGGTGGTGATGCTGGTATGCTTATACTATTTTGGAATCTATTGAATGGTGGAGGTCCATGGTGCATCATTATGCTATTGAAATGTGCTCTTCTGCCTTGTGGTCTTGTGCTATTTGAGGATAATGGTCCACGATATCCCATTCATGTTCAACAAATTAATCTTGATAAGATATTAGCTAATGTATTGTCATTATCTTTTATATGTTCAAAAATTGGTTTAAAATCATTTCTTGTAATTGAATCAACAAAATTAACCCATGTTCAGGCTGCCTGTTTATTAGCATGTATTTTGTTATAATGAGAAACTATATTTTGACAATCTGTTCTAATCGTAAATATTTCATTATGTAAAAATAAAGAGAATATTTCAAGTGAATTAATTATTCCTAAAATTTCTAAATCCGTTGATGGTATCTTGACTGTACATCACCAAATTTTCCTGATGAATATCTACAAACTTGTTCGTCAGACTTTGGTGACTCCTTATGCTTTTTCTGGTATAGTATACATGCCCATCCTAATGACGAAGCATTTGTTTCAACTATTTTGTAACTTTCATCTAATGGTAATGTTAATGACTTAAGTTTAGTAATTTCTTCCTTTATTTTTTTGAACTAATTTAATATATTTACTATTAAAATACTTTTGTCTAGTTTTGCTAGTTTTACTATGTAATACTGCTATTTTTCTTCCCAAATCAGTGATAAAATTTATTGCATAATTTAACAAACCTAAAAATGCTTGTAATTATTTTTTGTCTTCTAATTTATCTGGAAATTCTAAGACCTTTTTAGATATATAATTTTGTAATTGTATTGTATCTGACTTAATATACATTCCTAAAAATTATATATCTTGCTTTTCTAATGCTATTGTATTTTTGCTAATCACAATTCCATTATTGATAAATTCTTGTAAAACTATCTCTAAATGTTTCATATGTTCATTTCTATTTTTACTATGTACTAAGATATCGTCTACATAAACACTACAAAAATTATCATATTTCTTGAAAATTTGATCCATCTTTCTTTGAAAGATCAATAGAGCATTTTTAAGACCAAATGGCATAACAAGCCACTCAAAATGTCCTTCTAAACAAGTAAAAGTTGTCCACTCAATTGATTCTTCTGCTAATCGTATTTGCCAAAATCTTGATTTACAATCAAATTTACTAAAATATTTACTTTCTTGAATTTTATTTATAAGTTCATCCTTACTTTGGTAACTTATAAATATCTTCATATGTATTATCATTTAGTCTCTTGTAATTATAAACTATTCTAACATTACCTCTTTTTAGTTTCGAATGTTTTCTCACTATAAATGTTGTTGATCTATGTCTAGACTTAGAGGGTCTAATTACTTTTAAATTTAACAACTCTTTTATTTGATGCTCAAACTCTTGTTTATCTACTAAACTACAAGGCATATCAGCTGTTTTTATGGTTAAATATGGATTAATTATATCTAATTTTGCTAGTATTTTATTTTTATTCAAATATAACTGTGGGTCTTCTCCTATAATTCTAGTTTGTTCTGCTAATTGTAACAATTCTTCTAAACTCTTTGGTCTATCTAACTGTAATATTTCTATACGGTTTCCTTCTTCTAAAATCGGATATCTATGTTCAAATATTTCTTCATCAAACGCTTCTATATTATTATACTCATCATTTTCTTTTGAATTTTCTTAATAATAACCATCTTGACTACTAAACTCTTCTATATTTATACTTATGTATGTTTTTTCAGTATTACATTGATCATTTATTGTAATGCATCTTTTGAAAAATGTTATGTTAGGATTAATTAATAAAAAATCTTGTAAGCTTTTCAAAAAGTTTGAACCTAAAATAAATGGGTATGATCCTACTGGTGAAATAAATGTTAGTGGTAAATGAAATTGTTATTTTTCAACTTTAATAGTGTAACATCCCACATCGCTTAGGAGAGTGGATCTTGTAAGCCTTATATGTATATTCTCATCTCTACCTAACACGAGGCATTTTGGGAGTTCACTGGCTTTAGGTTCTATGAGAACTCTGAAGTTAAGCGAGTAGCACGCGAGAGCACTTCCATAATGGGTGACCTATTAGGAAGTTATCGTGTGAGTTCTTAGAAACAAAATCGTGAGGGCGTGGTCGGAGCCCAAAACGGACAATATTGTGCTACGGCAGAGTTGAGCCAGGGATATGGTGGAGCCCGGGTCAGGATATGACAATTTGGTATCAGTGCCAATCCTTGGCCGAAGTGTGTCGACGAAGACGTCGGGCTCTTAAGGGGGGTGGATTGTAACATCTCACATCATTCAGGGGAGTGGATCCTGTAAGCCTTATATGTATATTCTCATCTCTACCTAGCACGAGGCCTTTTGGGAGCTCACTGGCTTTGGGTTTTATGGAAACTCGAAGTTAAGTGAGTAACGCACGAGAGCATTTCCATGATGGGTGACCTACTGGGAAAATCTCGTGTGAGTTCCCAAAAACAAAATCGTGAAGGCATGGTCGGGGCCCAAAGTGGACAATATTGTGTTACAGCAGAGTCGAGCCCAGGATGTGGTGGAGCCCAGGTCGGGATGTGACAAATAGACTCATTATTAATGCAATGTGTTAAGTAAACTGGTCTCTCATCAAATGGTGTTATTCTTACTATTTTTGCTAACTTTTGTCTATATTTTTCTGGTACTAACTCTTTTCTTATGACACTCTTTGTACTCCCTGTATCTATCATAGTTGTTGTTTGTATCTTATATTCTTTTGCTAATTTTATTTCGCACTTTATGGTAATTAATGAACTACTTTTTGACTTTTCTATACTATGAAAAGTATTTTCTAATATTTCAGTATTTTCTTGTGATTCTGCTGAATTAACTTCTAATAACCTATTACTATATCACTTTTCACATAATATTGAATATGTATTATAGTATTTATTTGTAACTAATTTACTACACTTATAACATTTTTCTGGCCAACCTAAATTAATGTATTTATATTCTTTTTCATGTTGTTCTTCTATGAATGCATATATATACTCTTCTAGATCACTATTTGTGCTACTTGAATTTTCTGAGTCATAATCTATCATATTTACACTTTCTATACTATAAATACTCTCATTATCACTTAAATCATATAAGTTGTATATTGACTGTATATCTTATCTTCTTCTAACTTAAACAACTTCATTAAATGTACCTTTTCTCTCGGTTGTTTACCTAATTTTGGACATTTAGGTCTAATGTGTCCAACTTCTCCACATGAATAACATTTACAGCTACTTTTATCTTTTGGTGCTTTATATTTTCTAATCCAAGGTCTGCTACTTCTTTTTCTAATTTGTTTTGGAATATATTTTCTCTTCTTATATGTTCTTGAAGGTCTCATGCTGAAATTCTTATGTTGTTTATAGAGTTTATATGACCTATACTTCTTTTTGTATATT